AGTCGCATCCTACAGTAAAAGTCATGGTCCGCAGAGAGCTTCCAAAGCATCAGAGGGATCTGCTTGTTAAATGACTTCAGTCAGGAGAAGGGTACAGAAGAATTTCCAAGGCATTAGATATGCCATGGAACACAGTGAAGTCCTCATCAAGTGCAGAAAATATGGCATAAAAGTGACATTACCAGGAACTGGACGTCCCTCCAAAATTGATGAAAAGACAAGAAGAAAACTGGTCTGGGAGGCTGCCAAGAGGCCTACAGCAACATTAAAGGAGCTGCAGGAATACCTGGCAAGTATTGGCTGTGTGGTACATGTGGCAACAATCTCCCGTATTCTTCATATGTGTGGCCTATGGGGGTAGAGTGGCAAGACGGAAGCCTTTTCTTACGAAGAAAAACATCCAAGCCCGGCTGAATTTTGCAAAAACACATCTGAAGTCTCCCAAAAGCATGTGGGAAAATGTGTTCTGGTCTGATGACACCAAGGTTGAACTTTTTGGCCATAATTCAAAAAGATATGTTTGGTGCACATCACCAAAAGAACACCATACCCACTGTGAAGCATGGTGGTGGCAGCATCATGCTTTGTGGCTGTTTTTTCTTCAGCTGGAACTGGGGCCTTAGTCAAGGTAGAGGGAATTATGAACAGTTCCAAATACCAGTCAATATTGGCACAAAACCTTCAGGCTTCTGCTAGAAAGCTGAACACAAAGAGGAACTTCATCTTTCAGCATGACAACAATCCAAAGCATACATCCAAATCAACAAAGGAATGGCTTCACCAGAAGAAGTTGAAAGTTTTGGAATGGCCCAGCCAGAGCCCAGACCTGAATCCAATTGAAAATCTGTGGGGTGATCTGAAGAGGGCTGTACACTGGAGATGCCCTCACAATCTGACAGATTTGGAGTGTTTTTGCAAGGAAGAGTGGGCAATACTCAAAAAGACTTATGCTACCATATTATTTTAGTTTTTAACTTCCTTCCACCTAAAATATTTCAGTTTGTTGTTCAACCGAGTTGTACAGTTTATAGGTCACATTAAAGGTGGAAAAAGTTCTGAAATGATTTGTCTTTTTTTTTTTTTTTTTTTATATCACAGAAACCTGACATTTTAACAGGGGCGTGTAGACTTTTTATATCCACTGTACATGTGAAATGAATGTTTGGGGTAACACACCTTTTAACTCTTGCAGTTGTGGGGGGCAGTGTAAGGGTAGATTTTGTCATTTCCTGAGTTAAGCTTTAATCCAGTGTCATATAATTATTCTCAGAAAAAAAAATAAATTGGAAGTAAAATTTTTCTTAAATCGAACTTTAGGCAGATGTTGAAGACACAAATGCAGCTCTGTAATATTTATTTTTTTTTCATTTTGGATACAGTAAAGGAGGGTTATAACCCCTGTCAGATTTTTGTCCACCATCTGTGTCCTATTGCGGAGATTTCCATTCACTTCTGTCCCATAGCCAAACAGGCGAAAGGAAATCCCTGCAAATTAAGGGAATGACCCCCAGGTCACCAGAACTAGTGTTCCCATTGGAAGATTCCCCTCTGTTTTTTTTTTTCTGGGGACAACCCAATTTTTTGATTTTCTTTTACTTTCAATTTCAACAGGAACAGGAAAACAGGACAAATAGAGAAGATGAATCTCCCTAATGGGGGCAGACTGCAATAAAGCCTGACAGGTGTTTATTCCATCTGCTCTCTATCCAAAACTAAAAAAAATAAAGTTTTGCCTTTAACTATACTTTAATACATCATAAAAATATTTATTTTTAACTCTTTCGCTGCCCGGTCTGTATGCCGTGTGGACCTGATAGCAGGGGATTTTATACACATACAGTAGCTGCAGCCACTGGGATTGTGTATAAAACGGACTGGCAGACTCTTGCCTGTCAGCTGGAAGCAGTCACGAGGCTTCGCTGCCACCAATTGCTTCCACAGCCCCCAGTTCCATTGCTCCTCCCTCCCCCCCCCCCCCCCCGCCATGTAACCAGGCTTTGCTTGTCCATCTGCGGGCCCAGGGAGAGCCGTGGAGGGGAGAGAGGAGAGCGGACGAGCGTCTGCTCCCTTCTTTGTGTGACCTGGAAGGTGACGTTCGGGGTCCTAGAATAGCCAGGGAAAGATGTATTGCAATGCAGTTTGCATTGCAATACATCTAATGGAGCCCATAGGAGACCTGCAGGGTCTTTTAGACCCTGCATGTTTCAATAAAGAGAACCTGTCACCCATAAATCATCCCCTATGGGATGAAAAAAAAAATGGTAAGCAAAATTACACCCCGCCAAAAAAAATTAAAGCCACTTCCACATATACGCAAGTACGAATGTAAACGTGCAAGTCGGGGCGCCTACGCGTGAAAATATCAATCACGATACAAATATTGCATATCAACGCACACGCCAGAGTGAGAGCAATAATTCTAGCACCAGACCTCCTCCATAATGCTAAACTGATGACCAGGGGCGGACTGACAACTCATGGGGCCCCCGGGCACTAGGGGATCATGGGGCCCCTGTGTCCTTGCCCAAACTCAAAAAAGCCTATGAAAAAGGTACCAGGGGCATCTCATGGGGCCCCCTACTGACCTCGGGCAGTGCCCGAGTTTCCAAATGGTCAGTCCGCCCCTGCTGATGACCTATAGGACCTTGAAGTGTCATCTATAGAAAATAGAGAGTACTGAAGTTTGACGCATATGTGCACACAAATTTAATATTTGGCATGTTGGGTATCTTTTTACTCGGCACAACCTCGTCTATTATATTTTACCAAAAATGTGGGTAATTTATTGGGATTGTTTGCCCTAAAATTCACTTTAGTGTTTTTTTTTTTTTTTTAACTGAAATTTTGCATTTCCTAGACCTTTGCAATAATATCGAGTGACATAAAAAAATTGGGATTACCACTATTTTATTCTCTAGGGTGTCTGCTTTCAGAAAAAAATATAATGTTTTTTTTTTTGGGGGGGGGGCGTTGTGTAACCTACAGCCCTAAACGTGTGCAAAAAAATGCAAAAGCGGCTCTAACAGAGAAGAGGGTTAACTGTAACCACCTGAATGTGACCTGGTATCAGCCTCTTGCAGTCCCTGTACAGTAAGGCTGGATTGTGAAGGGAAGAAGCAGTACAAGTAGCCAGTCAGTTCATGCTAGCAAAAAGCATGCTGAGAGGAGGAGAAAGTAGTGTGACAGAAAGATGAGCTCATCACTGTGCTGCTTCTCTTTTCACTGTATAGTCCTATTCAGGGGGCAGATCCAGGTGGCGCTGGGATCAGAGGAAGTGGGTTGAATGATGCTGGCCACAAGAATGAGGACAGCTAGTGATGGAAAAAAACTATGGAGAAATCTATGGATTAAAATTATTATTTTTTTAAATTTATTTTAGCATTTAACCACTTGACAACCATGCAGTTTTGTGTGTTCAAAAAATGTGAGCTTTTGCCATTGCATGGGATTACCATTAAGCATTGAAAGGCATCCCTGTGCATCTACTTAACAGCAACCTATTTCTCTCACAGATTGGGAACGCATGCGATTGGGCACATGTTCTCTGGATGGGATAGTATGAACCTATCCTAAAAAATTATTTGATTAAAATTATACTCTAGGAGTGACATTTTTATGAAACCATTAAAAAAAAAAAGTATAAAATTAGAAAGCAATTTAGGATTTAGTGGTTTGCTTGGAATTCAGCTTTAATTAAAAAAAAGTGAAAGTTCACATAGCCACCTGATTGGTGTGACTTAAAGTGGTTGTAAACCCTTCCAGTGTAGTGACTGGCCTCAGGTCACACACAAAGATGAAACGCATTCTCCCACATAAGTTGTACCTGTTTATCTGCAGTCTTCTCTCCTCTACATCCATTCAAAGTCCAGAATTGTAAAAGCTTGTCTGAGCTTCCAGAAACAAGGTGGCGGAGAGCTGAACTTACACTCTGCAGAGCTCAGTGAGGAGAGCTCTGAGAGCTGATTGGAGGGAAGGGAAACACACTCCTGCACACAGGAACAGAGCTGAGGCTGTCAATCACAGGTTATGTGCTGGAGATCCCTCCCCATCACCTTTTTTCTCTTGGTGTCAAGAAAACCTGTCAGAAGTGATTCATGCTGATAGTAGAGGAAGGAGGCAGCGCTCTGGATTGAGACAAGTACACACTATAGAGAGATATGCTTTGTTCATATTTCATGTCTGAGGTTAACAACCACTTTAAGCTGGCCATACACACTTGGGGTCCATTTATAAAAAGTTCCTTGGAAGAGTCTGAAGCATTTGTACAAGCTGGACAAAACAATATCCCCGTATTTTTAAGGCTAGATTAATTCCTGTATTTTCAGAACCAAAATGCAGTATTACTTTCTCATTGAGGTTAAAAAAGGGGGGAAAAAAAAACGGCCACTGGACCAATCTATTACAAACTGGGAACATGTTTACTTCAGCTTGCATGAATGCTTTTGAGATTCTTCCAACGAAAATCTAACAGATTCCCCCATCCACACTAAACAGCACAGATGGACAATCTCTGCTGCTGGGTATTGTATTCTGCCAGCAACCACCAACAAGTGGAGGAATACTTGAACAGCAGCTGCAGTCACAGTGGTTGACAAACTACAAAGTAGACACCTGGCTTCTTTGGCAAACATCCATTGAACAAATCGACATTTGTCAGGTCGGGTGTTTACCAATAGGGACACTCACAATACAAATGTCGGCTGATTCAAGCTGTGTACGGCGGCCTCTTTGCTCTTGCACTGTTTATTGAAGAAAGCCAGTAGTCATTCATCCATTCAGAGCACCAAATATTCATCACACAAACTTAGATGTACAAAGTAGACTTCTACTCAATGACTCATATTCAATGACTGAGAAAAAACTAATTTTATTAGTATTTTTTTTTTTAAGATATAACAATATAATTAGTGTGTTCAGCACCATTAGTTTAAGAATCAAATCTTTTACAGTTGTTTGTGTTGACTACGATAAAAATATGCACATATACAGAGTAGCTTCTGCTATTGTTTGATCAGTGAGAGGAATTCTTCTCTGGTCTTGGGATCTTCTCGCATGAGTCCATGCATTGTGCTGGTGACGGTCCTGCTGTTCATCTTCTGCACGCCCCTCATTACCATACACATGTGTCTGGGGTGAGAGAAAAAACAAATTACTCCATGATTGCAGGTACAGACAATGATTGTCAGGCTAAAAAAACACAAGTGGATGTAATGCTGGCCATGGATGGATCAAATCTTGGCTGATTCAGCAGGGATCAGCCGAGAATCGATCCATCTATGGGCAGGCTGGTTGTACTGAAGTTGATCCATCGATTGACTTTAGTACAACCAGCCTGTTGGTTTTTCTCTACATGTGATTACTGCCAGCTGCTATAGCTGTCAGCAGTGAACATTGTGTTCTGCTGGCAGGGAAGGCTTCCCACCAGCAGAAGATAATAGCGCTGCAGGAGGGATTCCCCCATCAGCACTGACTTTGTTGTGTTGATGGGGGAAATTGGCAATTTTGGGGGGAAATTGAGCAATTTTGGGGGGAAATTGAGCAATTTTGTATTATCTATGGCTTGCTCGAAGGTACCTACCCGGTGAACTATATTTATTGATAAATCCTTCTACCAACACACAAGTTTATATCTTTTATGATAAACTCTGGGCAAAAGAAGAAAAAAAAAAAGTTTAAATACTTTGCTCAAGAAAATTAAAGGAACACTTTTTAATCAGAGTATAGCATCAGGTCAACTACTGGTTACTACTGGTAGCATAAGGCAATACTTGGACCCTATAAAGGTTGCACAGGCAGTCTAACTCCCCCTGGATGGCACATCAATACCTGTCATTCCCAGAAGGTTTGCTGTGTCTCCCAGCACAGTCTCAAGAGCATGGAGGAGATTCCAGGAGTCAGGTAGTTACTCTAGGATACCTGGACAGGGCTGTAGAAGGTCCTTAACCCATCAGCAGGACCAGTATCTGCTCCTTTGTGCGAGGAGGAACAGGATGAGCGCTGCCAGAGCCCTACAAAAATACCACCAGCAGGCCACTGGTGTCAATGTCTCTGACCAAACAATCAGAAACAGACTTCATGAGGGTGGCCTGAGTGCCCAACGTCCTCTAGTGGGCCCTGTGCTCACTGCCCGGCTCCATAGAGCTCAATTGGAATGTGCCATTGAACACCAGAATTGGCAGGTCCACCACTGGTGCCCTGTGCTTTTCACAGATGAGAGCAGGTTCACCCTGAACACATGTGATAGACGTGAAAGGGTCTGGAGAAACTATGGAGAACATTATGCTGCCTGTAACATCGTGCAGCATGACAGTTTTGGTATTGGGTCAGTGTTGGTCTGGGGAGGCATATCCATGGAGGGACGCACAGACCCCTACAGGCTAGACAATGGCACCCTGACTGCCATTAGGCATCGGGATAAAATCCTTGGACCCATTGTCAGACCCTACACTGGTGCCGTGGGTCCTGGGTTCCTCCTGGTGCACAACAAAGCCAGGTCTCGTGGGGAGAGTATGCAGGCAGTTCCTGGAGGATGAAGGAATTGATACCATTGAATTGCCCCCATGCTTGCTTGACCTTAATCAAATAGAACACCTCTGGCATATCATGTTTCGGTCCATCCGATGCACCAGGTTGCACCTCAGACTGTCCAGGAGCTCAGTGATGCTCTGGTCCAGATCTGGGAGGAAGTACCCCAGGACACCATATGTCGTCTTATTAGGAACATGCCCGATGTTGTCAGGCATGCATACAAGCACGTGGGGGCCATACAAACTACTGAGCTCCATTTTGAGTTGCTGCAGTGAAATTTCAGCAAAATGGACTAGCCTGCTGCATCATTTCTTCACTTTGATTTTCAGGGTGTCTTTGATGGAAATGAAAATTATTGACCTACAGAGGACTGAATTTAAATGATGGGGCATCCTTACGTTGCTAACACATTACCCAGTACAAGGAGAATGACAGGCGCATGGTGCAGCAATCCATGTATGTAGTGTGAAGTTCCAAATGGGCAGGGGTAGTCCAGTAGGCACTAAGGGCAAGCTGCAATGGAGCGAAGCGTAACTCTGGTAGAAGGAACAAAGGAACACAGCGCCTCTAAATGTGTACTGTAATAGTATTTAATAAAAAGATAAGTAGTAACTCACATTTTGGAAATTAAAAACAGGCTTATGTAGTGGAGAGGTAAAACGTCTTATAGCCAGATGTTGGGTGACTGTACCAGATGAAAATAGCCTAGGTCCGCCAGCAGATGGTGCTGTGTATGTGTAGCATACACTAAGATGTGAGTTACTACTTATCTTCTTACTGAATACTAATACAATACACACTTAGAGGTGCTGTGTTCCTTTGTTGCTAACACATTACCCAGTCCATATCAGTATAGATATCCAGCATATTTTTCTCCATTGCGATCTCATGTGTTTTCAAAATGTTTTTTTAATTTTTTTGAGCAGTGTATATTCAGTAGCCAAAACAGATATAAATCTACTTTGTGAGCACCAAATGCAGATATTACCTTGAAAAAATAGTGATGACATCACTACTGTGCTGTACATACCCTGTGCAGAGAGTAGAGCTTTGGGAGGAACCCAGTAGGCTCCACCTACTACAGGCTGCCTGCAGAAAACTACAGGAGGGGGGCTGAGACAAGACCATGAACCCTGCACAAGGGGAGAGGGCAGCAATGACTGGTCCTGCCATTACGGAGTTTACCTTTTGAAAATGCTTGTTTCCTGGCTGTTTAGATTTTCAGTATAAACAGGGAGTAAGGAGAGGGTAAGCATTGCAGCCTCTTTTGCAACCCTCTGGACTTAACAAACATTTAAAGCAGACCTTCCACTGGTTCCTCCCTCCCCCCAGCCTGTAACAGAGCTATAAGTTTTTTTTTTTTTTGGGGGGTGGGGGGTGGGGTGGGGGGGTTGAATGAGTACCGCTTATTATTGGTACCTGCTCCCATTTCCTCAATCCTTGCCTAGGTGAGGATGATGTCAGATGCTTTGTCCCTTCCCCAGCCTCCTGGGACATGTCATAAGGGGCCACAGGACTGATCACAAAGTGCCATGCGAGGTTGTGCATACACAAGGGGGAGCCAGCTGTGGTTTCTACCATATCCGTGAACCACTGGCTGTGGGAAGACAGCGATCACTGGTAAGTACCTGACTTAAAAAAAAGAAAAACATACAACCACACATACGCCTCTTTAACCCTTACAGTGTGAAAGTTTTCAAGTCAACAACTGCAAAGTAACAGCTGGGTGCGCCTTACGAATACACAAAACAAAAGTATGGAAAGTGTGAAACCTGGTGTCGAGCTTTAAATTCCGTATATCTAAAACCAACTAACTTTGTTTTCCTCCATTTTGGGAGATTTTCCTTTTCTGGTGGCAAAATTTTATCTTACTTCTTCTCCTGGTAAGAGTAGTAACAAGTTCAGTAGAGAGGGTGAATTTCCTCTACAGGGACACAGACCACAATAAAAGCCTGACAGCACTTCACCACTTTACCCAAAAAGTCTTTTAGCTTTTGATATACTGTAATATCCAAGTAGCCCAGAAACTGAAAAGAGGGTTATGTGATGCTCCACCAAATTGCTACAAACCCCCTATACCCGAGAACCCTTGTGAAGGACTTCTCAACTTGTAACCACCATAAAACTAATTAAGTCCAGACTTTACTGGTCATTTTCCAATGAGGAACTAACTTCAAAACTGGATACCATGCCCATGTTTAAGAAAAGTTAGGACCCAAAGATTACCCACTTCTTTCCAAGCAATTTTGACAGTCTTCTACTTGACTTCTAAATCCTCTCAGTGCTCAGTACCAAACAGGATTTTGGTCTCTCCAAAATGCCTCAGGATGGCCATCTACCTCTCCCTGCCCTCCCCCACCTTCTTTGTCATGTGCCCCCTACAACATCTCACATTTCTGCTTTATGTCCCAACTTTGTGGTCCAAAAGAAGGTTTTCATTGCTGACTTGCCTAGAACAGGGGTCTCCAAACTACAGCCTGCAGGCCAAATCCAGTCCACTGCATGATTTTATCTGGTTCACAGCTAGAGTCAGTTGCTTCTCACTCAGGTCAGCCCAAGATCTCAGTTTCTAACCAAAATCCACAGCTCCCTCCACTGGTTTCCAGCGCAGGTTCCCATTCATTGTAACATCACTGGTTGCTGGCATCCTAACTGTTATCACATTGCATCTAGGCTGATATGATGGGGACTCTGATGTACATTGGAGGGGGGTTAGGGACCCTGATATAAAGGTATAACTATGATTGGCTCAAGTTTATTTGGAATTTCTTTGCTTTGTTTTACTGAAGTTCTCTGTTCTGTATCATATTGTGCTGATTACAAAAAAAGCTCCAAGTAGAATTATTCATTTAATTTGGTTTTATTCATTTATTTTCAATACTGATTTTTTTTTTTGACTTGCAAATATTTGTAAAATATACAGTGTGGCCCTCGTACTGAAACATTTGGAGACCCTGGCGTAGATGGTATTTAATAGCATACTCCAGGATGTACCATCAGTGCCATCCGCACCATCTGTATATCTCAAGTTTCTTTTGTTACATGGTTAGTCTGCTTGAAAAAAAGACACAAGTCCATCTAGTGCAACCGATAATTTTGTCTCCTCTTTCCTTCATATAAAACCAGAAACCAGGAAGGGGGAGGAATTATACCGGGGGACAGACAATATCCAAATCGAAATGATTCCTCCATCCACCTAATTTGCGTGGATGGAGAAATCTGTTTTTTTTTTTCATTCAGCTCACTGGCTAAACTGGAAGAGAAACTATGACCAGAGTCCTGCACTATATGGTACATTACAGACCCCTGCATTATATTCACTACATTGTATATTACATACTTCTGACCAAATTGTTTATTGTCCTATCAATTGCAGGTTGCTAAGCAGTTCCTGACTATTTTATTGAAGTTCTTCTTTAAGATAGGCTCAGAAAATTTTTTAGCTCTCTGTCAATTTTCAGTGTACAATAATATCATATGTAATAGAAGAGTTTAATTTCTTTAACCTCCTTGGCGGTCTGATTATTTCAGATTTTTTGGTGCTGAAAGCGGTACCATTATTTTGCATGGAAATATGTAGTTTTTTTTTATTGTAGGCCTGTAATTTTTAGGAATAACTCACTGAAATTGTCCGAACAAGAGTCTAGTAAACATCCCGGGTATGATAAAATTTGAAACACGAAATCATAAATTATAATTTAATAAATAATCATAAAAAATAATAATATAATAATAATAAATTTAATATAATAATATAATCAAACCAAAAACAGTGAAATTTGAAATATAGCGCCAAGTTCGCACATCGCTGAGCAAAGTCGCAAAATCGTTTTCAGTATCTGATGACGAATTTCCCCCATGAATCATTATCACTCAATTCTGCAAGTGGTTCTGATTTACTATCGCTGTTCTCTAGCTGATCTAAACCCGCTTTTGACCTAAAGGGACGCTTTTTGGACGCCATGGACTTTTCTCAGTTTCCAGGCAGAAAGAACAGACAAAATGCAGGCAGGACACAGGACAAAGCACTCGGGACAAAATGTATGTGAAATGGGTTGAAACAGCAATGTTTTACTATGTAAAATTTGTTTGGAAAAAAATGACTTCTTTATAAAATCTCAAAATTTCGCACCGCCAACGGCGGCGCCCGTACGTCCTGACGTCACAGGGACTGGAACACAGAAGCCGGATGCCGGCATCGGCCGGAGGAGATGGCCGGGGACGCTGCAGGGGACACATCGCGGGAGCGAAGGACAAGGTAAGCTCTGCAGGGACTCCCTATGCAGCACCGCATGGTAAGCCCAAGTGTAGCTCGGGGTTACCGCTTTTGGTACTGAAACTTTACCCCGAGCTACACTCGGGAATACCGCCAGGGAGGTTAAAAAACATTTGCGCTGAGGTTTACACATATCTGTGAGACTCTTGAGGCACAGCAATCAAAGCATATTTTACGGGTACAATGCTGTTTTATTTAACCATGCCCCTTTAAATCTCTACCACTGCTAACGCAGTTTGGCCACAACTACTGTTAGCCAGGGCACGCTATGCAGGCCACATTTCTGCTCTGCTTGAGGTGCCCAAAGGTGCCCCAGGTCTTTAAGAATCCTATCAACACCCCAGCACAATAAAAGCCATGGCTACGCGTCACTATGACACACTAAGCATGTTGATTTTGTATTTATTTATTTATTTATTTTTTAAATCAAGCAACCTAATCTGCAAACAGGCCCACTGATTTCAGAAAATACCTGTCATTTACAGAAAACCATTGTTTTCTTTATACCCTTGTGTTCAGCCTGATTTGATTTTTGCAGCTCAACAAAGATGATATGAACGAGACATGTAGGGCTATAGAATATATGGTGTGATGCAGAGAGAACCCTCCTCTGTCATCTACAGCTAACAATCAACTTGCCCAGCTCTGGCCCTGGATAGGATAAACAATGTATTACATTGAAATATATAAAAGGCCTTTTGAAATAAATCATAGAAAAGACATTTACTTACGTAGCTTCCATAACAACAGCCACCCCCAATGGCTGCAGAGCATCATTGATGGCTAATGCGATTTGTTTTGTGAGGCGCTCTTGAACTGGAAATATATAAAAGAGGAGATTATTAGCACTCCTACACAGCCAAAAGGTGAAGAAAAAAAATCACTCTAAGGCAGGGGTGTCAAACTGGTGGCCTTCCAGCTGTTGCAAAACTACAAGTCCCATCATGCCTGTGCCATTTGGAATCATGCTTGTAACTGTCCATCTGGAGGGCCGCCAGTTTGACACCCGTGCTCTAAGGTATTCATTTAAAATTATGACATGAGACATTCATAAAAGAACATTATTTAGCAATAGATATGCTTAAAATGACCCTGTCTCCAGACCATTCATTTCAGACAAAGAAATCTTCCCATCAGATTATATGTATTTTTTTTTTATGAATTTCAGACATGTTGTTTACCTGCAAAAGCCTCCCTTATGTAGACATCTGAAAGTCCTGAGGCTACTGCTGGGTGCTGACCTCCTGGATGTGATGTCAGCAGCTCCAGCAGACTCAGAGCTGTCACTCAAGTGGTACTTCTTTGCCCCTCCCCTGGCTGATCCATAAAAGTAGGATAGGTATGAAGGAGCTGGGTCAGCACAGAGTTATTAGTCACACCCAGAAGAGGAGAGGGCTATGACATGCAATGAGGGCGGGGTTGTGCTAAGGAATTGATTCTTCTGGAGCACTCCTGATTTCTAGCAAATTCAAAGGCACATTGTAAGTAAATAAAAAATAATATATGGAAAAGGGGAAAAAACACTACAAGTAAGCTTTTAAAAATACTTGATTTTTCTGTCCTTTTACCTGAACTTTAAGTTGGTGACATGGTCTCTTTATTCAGCCATAGTAAGGGCTCCATATATGCATGCCCATTTTAATACCAATATGTATTTATTATCTAATAGAGCTAAATATAATAGCAGCCAAACATACTCGGCTACCATCACCAGTTTTCGATTTTGTGTGCCGAAACAAAATGCACTTCAAGGCTGACATAAATCACTATTAAAACTGAAGTGTAATGTATTTGTACAACATCTTCCCTTGTTCTCTCCCCTAATCTTGATCAACATATAAATAAGTTTTTAATAAAAATGTATAGTTTTCAGTTTTAAAAAATATACCCATTTAGAGACCAGATGATGTCATCACTGGGTCTCTACCAGTCTTTGATATTCGATAGGAAGTTGTATTGTAGGAGGGATAGGAGGATAGCACCATGTCACAGCATCTTGCCTTGTTTCTTCACCAAACAAGGGATGGCACTTGGACATGCAGATTTTAGTGCCTTGGTGAGCAGGCTTGTGGCTGCCTAGGAGTTGACAGGAGAGCACACAACTCCTCTGCCTTCACTACACAGCATCAGTACAAGTCCCCAGGTGAATAAACAAAGGGCACAAAGGCCTAGTGCATTACAGTCATCATTTATTCAAGTGAGTGCATACTCACAAAAAACAAAGGATAAACGCGTAGTACAAAACCGAAAAGAACCAATAGTAATCCAAAGGATGGAAATCCCGGTTTTTCCTCACACGAATTTGCTTTTTTGTGTCGAAGAAGAGGTCATGCCCTTTGAAACACGTCAGCTGTAGTCTGATTCATGTGAAGACCCTGTGCGTTCCCTCCTTTTGGATTACCATTGATTCTTCTGCATTTTCCACATTCTTCCAGTTGCTCAAAGGATCAGGCTTGGGGTTTCTTTTCAGGGTTTTTTTCATTGGGAGTAATGAACTTGGATGGGGAATATGGTATACCTCAAAACTGTACAACTTGAGGACTCTTTAACTTCAGGCTGCTCTGCATAGACTGCTGGATGCACTTGAACAGAACAAATGTCTGGAACTCCAGGCTGACTGTGAACTGTATTCCTTCCACAGTTTAAAGCTGCACTCTGTCAAACTTTGCAGCACTGTGGTCTTGTAATCACTTAGCCACTGGATCACCGGTTTCCTCCTGCTGATATTCACCAGGCTCTTCCCAGTGAGGGAGATTAAGGCTCAAACCACCTCCGAACAGCTTGGGCTCTCTCCCACAACCTTTTTCCTGATCCAACTGGATCCTTGGACTAAGATTGGCAAATAGGCCCCAGCTATGCCTAGCTGCGACCTAAGTATCTTTAGGCTGGCTTCCTGCCAGTCTTCTGACTCAGGGGGCAGAGCCCCTGCACAGAGGTCCCCTCCTTCAAAATTGGACACAGAACATTGCCCCTGCTGCTCAGGCCTCAAACTACGTATTGGTTCTCACTCCACCTTCTGGGCACACAGCTCCCCAGGGCTTGGCTGAAGTGCCATAAATATTCAGGTTGCCTGTTCTACTCTCCCTCCAACTTTGCTTCTAGAAACCTCTAGAAGACAGAGGGCAGTGGCAGAACAGCTGCCTGTGAAACACTGAGCAGTTCTAAGCAATCAACTGCTTACAGCGGAGCTAAACTAATGTAACCCATGGAAATGTTATTACATGCAATACACTAAAGTGGACATTAGATGGCGGTGGCTTGCTATTCAAGGTTACTCACATTGACAGAACAGCCCTCTGGAATTTGTATTTCTGAACAGGATGACTTGGCTTATAAGCAAAGTGCCCAGGACTACATTTCCCAGGAGAGGTAGCATGTGGGCAGGAGCATATTAATATCAAAGCCTGGGAGATTGGCCAGGAGAGTGTGGAGGGAGATTGAAGGAGGAGGTGTGAAGTGCTGAACAAGGTCGCGGAGCCAGTATTAGAGAGAGAGTGGAAAGAACTCACTGACTGCCCAGCTTGCCACCCTGCTAAGCAGACCACTCTGAAAACAGGAGACAGAACAGGATGCAAAGTGTGAACCAGAGGGCCCATGGACTGTCTCTATCCATCGGGAAAGATGGATGATGGCAATCCGCAACCACACTGATTGGGTGAGAGAGACCCTTGCATCCACTAACAAACTGAACATGGATAGTTCGTCACCTCAGTTATCTGCTTGCACATAGTTGTGAACATTTAATACAGTTGCCCCAGTTGCGGCCTAGTTATACCAGCGCCATTGTTGCAATACACATGCAGTACTGTTATCATCCAAGTTATCCGCAGGTTAGAGACAAAGATACAGCAGTGCCAACTGAAACAACAAATCTCCCTCTCTTTCTGCTGAGCAGGATACCTACTACTGTTCCTCTTCTGCCTTTTACATTCAGAGGGAGTTATCTTTGTCCATAGACATTTAGTCCAGTTGTTGCTATTTACCGCTTTAGGCTCAATTCATTGCTGGAGCTCTTAGAGGGAACCTTGCACTAATCCTTTGCCATCAATCAGTGGAGTGTTAGTTCTTTCCCCTTTTCCCTCACTATCTTTGATGTGACTACCCTGAGGAACTATCATCCAACCACGGACGCAACGTCATATCAATTGGGCTCCAACAAGCCCGTAGAAGATATTATAGAGCTCTTACAGGGGACACTGCCAATTATAACTGAGAATTCTCTTTATTTCACATTTAATCCTTGTTATCTAGTTCTGAGGACCCACAGTGAGCTTATCTTTTATCTGATAGTCATTCCTGCTCACAGTGGCAGTGGATTATTTCTGAAAACAGGCCTGCTAACAGATACTGTTGTTTTATTGTGAATGTTGTTACTTTTGCTTACAGTTGCCAAGAGTGAGCAGGTTTGCTACCAATACCAGTGCTATTTTGTTATTCTTGACTTAGTTGACTCCAAATCCAATATAAACTTAATTTCGGTTTATACTACTTTATGTGAGAGTCCATTTTACAGGTGCGATTTATCTGGGTCACCAGAAAACAGTGGTGTCAGCAGAGGTTGGACATTCAACAAGAAGTCCAAATTGACAGGGAACCCCAAAAAAATGACTAAGCAACCCTTAAGGGGGTAGTGCTACACTAAATTTACCAAGCAGCCTGCTACCCAAACTAGAAAGTATCAGTATCAAAAAATACTGTTCATGCACAAAGTACCCTCAAATCTTGTGTAATCCTATACGAAATGAAGAAGTGCCCACGTTGACTGAAATTTTACCTCTCTTGTCAGTAGTCAGTGTGACTGTAGAAGAGTCTCTGTACTTCTAGGATACAGTTTGCAGGAATGAGGAGTGGGCATTGCTAAATGGACTGTTGCTCCATACAGTCCACCCAAGCTAGCTCTCTAAAACATGATCAGGGAAAAAAAATGCCTTCTAAGGCACCATAAACACCAGGCATTTAGCCACGCTATTGGCAACCAGTCAAACTCCATGAGAGGCTGACTGCTACTGTGGCTTGACAGGGCTGGTGGGTCATTCAGCTGTACTTCCGTTTTAGGGCAGTATGCACCCAGGGAGTAATACTTGGACCTCTTGCATTCCAGGCATTCATTCCCAGGTGCATACTGCCCTATGCACAGCCCAACCCTGTTCAGCCGCAGTATCAGTCAGACTCAAAGTTTGACAGGCTGCTGGCAGTGCATCTGTGCCCTCTACCTGCAGCTGAACACCAGAACCCCATGCACCGTGGCAAAACGTCCAGTGTGCATAGGGATTAAAGAGTCAAACGAAATACCACCTAAGACAGCTGTCACTAAAACATTTATCCCCATTGCATTACTGACCTGCTCTGGTGACAGCTCTAACATTTTTTATTCCTGCTCACTGACAATGGTCACTAAGACAAATGGAGAGGGTAACTGCCCCCCATTGTGGACACAGACACCCTGTCATTTTCTTCACATGAAATATATTTTCTTATACAAACCTTGTAACCGCCGAGCAAAGATTTCAACAATTCTGAAAGAAAAAGAAAAAATGCAGTCAGCACAGGTATGTCATATGTTCTCAATCACCTGTCAGTTTGGATACCACTGCAGAATAAACCTGAATGTAGGAAACCATGCCATCTTAATAGCATCATGAGCAGTGGTGTATTCAGATTTTGTGCTGCCCTAGGTAAAACAAAATATCCCTCCCCCATGAGAGAGCGAGAGAGTTCAATAAGTGTGTGTATGTATATATGATTTTTCTCTCTCTCTCTTTCTTTCCCTCTGTCTTCTCTCCCTCTCTCTCCCCTCTCTTTCTCCCCTCTCTCTCCCCTCTCCTCTCTCTCTCTCTCCCCTCTCTCTCTCTCCCCACTCCTCTCTCTCTCCCCCCTCTCTCCTCTCCTCTCTCTCTTCCTTCCCTCTCTCTCCTCTCCCTCCCCCCCTCTCCCTCTCCTCTCTCTCTCTTCCTTCCCTCTCCTCTCTCTCTCTCTCTCCCCTCTCTCTCTCCCCTCGCTCAGATCGTATGGGGCTGCACACACACAGTATGATTACCCCCCCCCCCACCTCTCCTCCAAGGGCTGCTGATCTCCAGGCAGCAGAAAATGTGGGTAGGGGGTGGTAATCATACTATGTGTGTGCAGTCACATACGATCTATCAGTAATCGTGTATCATGTGCTGCATGGATGACAGGAGGGAGAGCCAGGAGAACACAACACAGCTCACCTCTTCTGGGCTCTTTCCTCTCTGCCACTTCTCCTCTCCCTGCTTCAGGCTGTCACCTGGTCCTGGCTCTGAGTGAGGGCGGGGGAAGGAGCTTAGCGGAGAGTGGTCACTCAGGAACACCCGGGAACCCCTCATTCTTCCCAGCTCTGTCTCTCCCTCCAGCAGCAGAAAGCCGGCGGGAGGGAAAGGGGGAGAAACCTCAAACCAGCTTTCAGCTGCTGGAGGGAGAGATACACGAGCATCGTTCTTCAACTGCCCTCCCCCAGCACACCGGTCCTCCTGCTGCCTGAGCCACCTACAGGGTACCGGTGGTACCTCTCTGATGGCGGCACTGCATGGCTCTGTCCGCCGCTGCCTCCCTAAAAATTGCCGCCCTAGGCAAACGCCTTGTTTGCCTCACAGGTGATACTCCCCTGATCATGGGCCCTTGGACAAAGTAATGCACTGGGGCCCCTACCAGAGAGATGGTGCCCTGATACGTATGCTGTGGCAAAAAGTGAATGTGCCTCATAAATGCCTCTTCCAGCCCCTCAATGGCCTGTATATATGTACAGTATGTCTGTGCAGAGTATGGGAGGCAGGAGGGCACAGTACAGGGGAGGTAAGGAGGGTATAGTATGGGGTGCAATAATGTATAATACAGATATGGTTTTCTCAAGCAGAGCAGTACAGGGAAGCTGCTGTCACGGATCTTACTTGATCTGGCACCTGTCACTAGGCTAAAGATATAATCTACCCCCCCACCTCCTCCCCACAGCATCTCACTACTGCTGCTGTGGGTGAAATGTGTACTGCTCTGATCTCCGCCGTCCCTCCTCTCATCCCATGTGATTGGAGCAATACACATCCCGCCCACACAAGCAGCAGTCTTGGTTGCCAACCTCCAACAGATTTTTTTTTTTTTTTAATAACAAAACAGAGAAAATTTACTGACATAGTGCATATTTTACTGACATTCTAAAATATGATGGAAACTCATATTAGAATTAAAGCAAGCAATATTTTAAAAATATAAATACTATTTGAATATCACAATAAAATATAGAATGCTGTACTCCCTTCTTCACCACAATTGTAGTAATCGTGCACACCGAGATGGACGCGGTCATCCATCTTGTTAAGAATCTTTCATTTTGTATAATTTCTACTTCCAAATCAGCTTTCCTCATCCCCCCACACTCTCTGTTGAGTGACATTTGGTCTGTTTGATGCAGATCACAGGCAGCAAACTCATTGGGAAGGCGTCATGATTATAAATCCCACAACTAGCTGGTGCCCCTCTGTCTGCGAGACTCTTGCTGGAGAAGGGATCGTAAAGCCATAAACCGAGCCCTCACTGAGCTTCAAAAGACATTCCAGGGAGTCGTAAAACAGACTTACATTTTAAAACCCAGTTTTCCATATAATTTTATATCTTCAAATAGGACATAACTACTTAAACATGGAGCACATATTTGGACGGCTCACTTTAATACAAATTGTTTGGTATATTACATCCCCTAGCTGAGATCAACAGGAGAGCAGAAAATAATATCTCCTTAACCATCCCAGCAGGTATCTCATATTTCATATGTAGACGTTCAGCAGAAGATTCTGCGTATTAATCTACTCGTGGATAGAATGTTATATGTATCCAGGGTAAGTTATGAACCATAATATAAGCTAAGAGGGATTTTTGGTCATAGCTTGGGTCTCCACCTGCCACACCTGCACAAATGAGGCGATTGGTTCTCTGCTTCAGGGAGACACCCTGCTGAGTTCCTAGATAAAGGCTGTGAAGCTTGAAGTTAAGCTAAGCTGAGTTGAGCTAAAATGAAGAATCTCTCTTTTAACATTGGAACTAACTTTGGGAGATAAGACCCTTTTGGCTCTGAAACCTGATCTGCTTAACCCAAGGCTGATGGCAAGTACTTTATCCCTCTAAACTTCTGTTATCTCTTTGCTGTGCTATTGTTTTCTGTATATGTATATATATATATATATATATATATATATATATATATATATATAAAAATATATATGCTACATCTTTTTCTGTAAATATTTTTATTGCATCCTTTTGACCTTTTAGTAATAAATCTTACTTTCTGAAAGTGTTGAACTGTTTCTAAAGCTCTTTAATGCAAACTAAGCACCCCTGCCTCTGAAGAACGCTCCTGTGTGTGTGTTTTAAACTTCGGTATATCATTGCCTGCGGTGACAGTGGTATACCGACGCTTATGCAAACATCATAGTGTTATTGCTGATATTGCCGAGTTTCCTCTTTCTCTGTACAAAAAGGAGGTGGTGGCAGTGTGAAGGGTTAATTGCGTAATTAACCTAACCCAGTAACAATCGCTTTCAGGCTGCTGGCACATAGGTTGTAGTCTATTAGCTGGAAAATCTTTGTGCAGGGTGCAGCTGGGCGTGCCATTGTTACGCACGTGACAGCGCGGTTTTAGATCGGCTAGTCTTTCGGTCACGAGTTTGGTGAGAAGGGCTGGGGTCTGACGCCGCGATCGTCACATATTGGCAGCGTACGTGGGATAGTTTGCATTAGAGCTTCAGTGCATTGTTAGGAATTAGCTCTGCACTGAAGGATTGTAACCTTTGTGGAAACAGTCCTTAGAAACAAGCGGTGCATATTTTTTTTATATATAGAGAGAGACATATAGCAACAGCTCCTTCCTTTTTCTACTTTCTATTCTTTGCTTGCAATTATGCCTGGTGACGCAGAATACAGGAAAATGAGCAAAAGTGATTTGAGTACGGAATGTACCTCACGAGGAATGGACGTCGCAAAACTCGTGAAGATTTGATTCATGACCTACAGGAGCATGATAGCCAAGCAGACCAGAACTTGGGGGAACTTGACGATGAAGGGGTTCCTGCTACCTCCGATCCCAGTGGCTCAGAGATGGCCTCGCAGGATGGGCATACAGAGACTGACACTGCAGTCAGGGATCCAGGGGTCCCGCAGAGTCTGGGCAACACCGGTAGTCTCGGTCCCCAAACAGGATCAGATGACCAGGCTTTGTGAGGACCTTGGAAAACTGAGCGCCAGCCCGGTGGTTGTGGACTGCCCCATGCCCAGGAGCCATGAGGTAATGAAGCATGCGGCAGGTGCCCGCTGTCTAACCATCATGGACCTGAGCAGAGGGTATAGGCCCCCGTTTCTAACCCAGGAGGCTCAGGACGAGTCAGCCTTCACCACCCCAGGTGGCTTGCCAGAATTCACGGGAAAGCTAGTTGGGGTTGAGAACGCACCAACCACCTCCCCAGGGGTCAGGAATGACCTACCATGTGGAGTGGAACTGTGTGCAGTTGTCCACTTTAGGGGCCTTGCAGTGTTCGGCCCTGTCTGAGAAGAGCAACTTGGGCCCCTGTCACGAGTCAGGAACAAACTGCCCGTGCCCAGTCTGACAGTCGAGAATGGTAACTGTCAGAGGGGCATGTCAGTGGTTCAGCACTGGGAACCACCGGTAGGAAGAGACCCCCAGAGGTCTGTGAATGGGGAGGCTGAGGCAGTTATGGCCTGGCCTACTCCCCAGGCCAAAAAGCAGGTTACGTCAGTCTTGGGTGCAGCTAGCTACGGTAAGACGCCTGGGTGCAACTATCATGGCTCAGCTGAACCTGTGACTGACCTAGTAGACAGGAAACTGATGGAAATGGTGTCCTGGATGCTAGCATGTAAAGAGGGCTGTTCTTCTTGGACGAAGGTACCTGTGGACACATCTGGGAGGCGAGTTCCAGAATTCGCCTGTCTGGTTTTGGTACACACAGGCGCCACTACCTTCGGGTCAGATGTAGTACTGGGCCTGAGGAAGGAGATGGGAGAGGGAAATCTCATTCTCTACCTCAACAAGAAGCTATATCTCAATATGTTAGCATATGACACCCCTGAACAGAAGTGTTTTGTGAATAGGTGGGCACCACGGCCGTTGCCACGATGTCTGGGTAGTCACAGCCGACTGGTGCTCACCCCTGACAACTCACTTGGTTGGCACAACAGTGTTGCTGGGGAGAACAGCACCCTTCTCAGAAGGAACCTGGTTCTCCCGCAGTGCAGTGGTACCAGATCACCCCAAGGTGAACCTCTGGGCACAGTGCCTCTGTGCCCTGGTCAGGCAAACCAGCGGCAGGAGCCGGTTGCGTCAGGAGGCTAATTGCAGTCCCCTCCCATGCAACCACCTGAGGGGCAGGTGTAGCAGTTGTGCACACCGAGATGGAAGCGGTCATCCATCTTGTTAAGAATCTTCCATTTTGTATCATTTCTACTCATATCTCATATTTCATATGTAGACATTCAGCAAAAGATTCTACGTATT